CAGAGAGATAAACCAGAGAGACGAGAGGCAGGGAGTGAGAACAGAGAGAACTAAAGCGACACTGAGAGAAAGAAATCCTGGCGGGAAGGAGGGATGATGACTTTCGGGTGCTTCTGTCACTCTGTAAATAAAAGAGGAAACTGTGGCACAGAATAGTGTGGTCACTGGCCAGGAAATTGTAGCACCAGACCACACAGTTCCGTGTGACCCTCAAACCTCAACTTCCCTTTTCCTGAGTGACACCTCCCTCCCACCCTGGGGGCCAGAACCAGTGGAGAGTAACCACCGGTTCAGAGTCACAGAGAAGCAAGTGACTGAATGGGTTCTGAAGCCCACCTGGACGACTCTCCCACCTTTCCATTTCCCTAGTGTGTCTACATGCCTGCCTCCTCTGGTCTTCAGCCCAGACAGGAGGAGAGTGGGTTTCCATTTCCCAGAACTGAAAACTGAGGTTCGGAAAGGGGAACTTCTGCCGACCCAGAGTCACGCAGCTAAGGAGTGGTCTACTCCAGCATCCTTGACATGATGACTTTGGATCCCAAGAACACGCTTTCACTTCCCTTCTCACTACATGCAAACTCAGGACTGATGTCTAGGAAACAATCAGAGCAGCAGCACAGTGAGGGCATTTACGGAGCACGTATGCTGTGCCAGGAACCTTGGCAAGTGCCTTCATTTACATCCACCACGTGCCAACCCCAGGAGGAAGACGCACTTGCTATCGCTGTTTTCCAGACCTTGGGGCCCAGAGCGGTTAGTCTCTGCCCAGAGCCCCTGGTTAGTGAACCACTGGCATCTGTAAACACACAGCTTGGTGCCCACTCACACATGCCTCAGTCCGAGCTATCTCACCTGTTAGGAAAGAGGCTTCCTTCAGGATTTATTTTCAATGATAAAATAAGAACAGCAATAGCTTAATCATGTTCATGGGTGATGTCTTGCTACTCACCCAAAGGTCGCTGGTTCAGATCCACCAGCCGCTTTGTGGGAGAAAAATGGACAGTCTTCTTTCACAGAGATTTACAGCTTCAGCGGAAACCTTCAGAGGGCTGCGATGAGTCAGAATGGACTGTGTGGCAGTGGGTAATCTTTAGAGAAGTAGAGTGCCACATCTTTCTCCCTAAAAGTGGCTGGTCGACATGAACCACTGACCTTATGCTCAACAGCCGAGCACAAAACCACTGCAACACCAAGGCTCCCTGCTGGTGGTTGTGCTGGGAAGCCAGATCCATGAGAGAAAGATGGGCTCCCTCCTCCCCTGTGATTTTTTTTTCCTTAATAAATTTATCCACAAGAAGTGAGACTGCAGAGGGGTTGGGGGCTGTACATGGGCACAGGCCTGGTGAGTTCTGTACATAGGGCTAGGAGTCAAGAAGCCTCCAGATGGAAGGGTATTTTTTAATAAAAAAAAATAATGGGAGCTAAACCACCCCTTCCCCCCTCCCCATTAAAAAGACACAAAAATAGATGTCTCTGAGGTAAATGGGGAGTCTGGGGCTTAAGGGTGTCAAGGGATTCACAGGTGCTTGGGCTTAAAGTGAGTGTCACAGCCACCAGGGTGGCTCCTGCATCAGGCAGAAAATCTATTCAAATGGAGCACTAGATCTTTGTACTCTCCCCTGTGATTTAAAAGCTCCTGGAGAGCTGCTGGCCGGTCAGCTGTGAGTTGGTTCCTACTCAATAGAAATGAGTCTTGTTAGACGCCGAGTCAGCGCCACCGACTCACAGAGATGCTATGCGCTACAGAAACCCTGCGTGATTCTGTGCCAGCCTCACAGTCTGCTGTGCTCAACCCATTCATTGCTGAAGTGACCGTGTCAACCATCTCCTTGAGTCAGCCTTTCTTGCTGACTCTCTACCTTACCAAGCATGATGTCTTTCTCCAGGGACCTCCTCCTGACAACATGCCCAGAGTCTGTGAGATGAAATTTCTCCAGCTTCGCTTCTAAGGAGCGTTCTGGGTGCACACCTTCAAAGACAGATTTGTTTGTTCTTCGGGCAGTCTGGGGCTTATTCCATGTTCTGCACCAACACTATAATTCAAAAGAACTTTGAATTTACTGCTTAGTCAATGCCTACTGCTGTTTACCCCCATATTTTTTTTCCTGCTACACTGAAGTCTCTGCTGCTCCTAGATCTTACCCACCTCAGTGCTTTTGCACAGCTATCCCTCCACGCCCACCCCAGGACCTCTTCCCATACAAATTTGCCTGACTTTACTATCTCCATAGCTGCTCAAATGACACTAAGTCAGTAAAGCCTTAAGTATTGGGCTGCTAACTGAAAGGTCAGCGTTTGGAATCCACCAGCTGCTCTGTGCAATAGCAATGAAACAGCCTACAGCCTCGGGAACCTAACTGAGGGTCACCATGAATCAGAATTGATGTGATGGCAATGGCTTTGCTTTTGGTTTTTTCATCCACTTCACAGTAGCTCACACTTCTCTTGAGCTCCTTGTTCTTCTTCAGCGTGCTTTGTTTTTCTTCATTTTAATCTTCAATGCCTGAGAATGCCTGAGATTGAGACCTAGATGACACATATCTGTTGCACACAAGAACAATCCCAATGTCAGCACTGCAAAGGCAGGGACCTGGCTGTGCTGCCTAAGGTGTCCCCAGCTCCCAGACCAGTGCCTCATAGACAGATTCAAAACAAAAATCATTGCTGTCAAGTCAGAGCCGACTCATGGCGGACCCTCCAGTGGGTTTCTGCAGTTGTAGATCCTGTGGGAGGAGATTGCACACCCCTGACAATGGAGGAGTTGCTGGTAGATTCAAACCACCTTTGGGTTAAGAGCACAACTTCCTACAGACTCACGAGAGCTCCCTGACACACAGTGGTGATGGTCGTAGTCTTGGTGGTGGTCGTGGTGGTGGTATGTGCCATTGAGTTGTCTGTGACAGCTCTGAACCCTGCCCTGTCCTGAGCCAGTCTCACTGTCTCCAACACACCTTACCCTCATTACCATAGTTACTGAGTCAATCCATCTTATCCAGGGTCTTCCTCTCCTGTGCTGTCCCTCCACCTTTGCAAGCAGGATGTCCTCCTCTAAGGACACTGGTCCCTCTTGGCAACATGCCCAAAGTATGTGAGATGGGGCTTCAAAATCCTTGTCTCCAAGGAGCATCCTGGTTTCACTCTTTCTAAGACAGACCTGGTAGTTCTTTTGGCAGTCCATGGCATGTTTAATACCCTTCTCCAGCACCACAACTCAAAGGCATTGATTCTTCCCTCGTCCTTAGTTGTTCAGCTCTCTGATGCAAGTAATTGTGATGACAATGGCCTGAATCAGGCGCACTTTAGTTTCGCATTGTTGCTTCTTAGCACTGTGGAGAGGCTCCTGACAGTGGATTTTCCCAAAGCAATTCATCTTTTGATTTCCTGACTAATGGTGCCAAGACTGTGGTTCCAAACAAGTTGAAATTGTTAAAAATCTCAATTGCTTCTCTATCTATCATGGTGCTGTCAATCCAATCCATAATGTAGACTACAATCCTTGCCCTTCTGCAGCAAACACTTTAGGTCCTCCTCAGTGTTGGCAAACAACGTTGTGTCATCTGCATAAGGCAGATTGTTGATGAGTCTTACTCCAATCCTGATCCCGCATTCCTCTTTATGAAGCCCAGCCTCCCAAATGATCTGTTCAGCATATAAATTGAAAAGATACAGAGACAGGACACATCCCTGACACACTCCTTTCCTGGTTTTGAACAATGTAGTCTTTCCCTGCTCTGTTCTGGCGACTGCATCCTGGTCCAAGTATAGGTTTCACATGAGTACAATCAAGTGTTCTGGGATTCCCATTCTTCTCAAGGTTAGCCACAATTTATTGTGATCCATACAGTCAAATGCCTTTGCATAGTCAATGAAACACAGCAATCAAAAGATCCAATATTATTCTCTGTGTAGCTAGGAGTTGCTCAAGCTTTTCAATGGTGTAAATAAATTGATGGGGTTGTCAGGCACATCCTGAGACATAGAGACCATGCACGTTTATATTTTTATTTTCCTTTTCATAAACAGAAGGAAGGAGAGAAAATGGGATCATGAGCTTCCACAGGCCTGCTGTCTAGATATAATTGATATTATAATTTGCCTCCCCACCTGCAGTATTTTAAAGTTAAATAGTCATCCAGTCATACTTTGCAATGGGACCAAGTAGAATTACTCCATTGGGTGTCCACGACCGTAAATCTTAGCATAAGCACACTGCTTATCTTTCTCCCCCAGAGCAGGTGATGGATTCAGACTTTTGACCTCTCTGTCAGCAGTCCAACATTTAACACACTCACTCATCAAATAAAATTCAACTTACTACCTTGAGTCAGAACTCACTCACAGCTGACCTCCAGTGGACTTTAAGAGGCTGTTAAATAGTACAGGAGAAAGAAAACAGAAATTTAAAATGAGGTGGTCGGAGACCAACAAGGAAGGAGATTGCCCATTTGTCTCCTGTGAAACAGGAGAAAAGGATACATTAAAGGTATTGACATTTTATTTATAAATTACAGGCATTCTTATTTCCTTTCATTGTTACTTCCTTTCCCAATATTTCAGCGTGCCTCGCAACACCTAAAGAAATTAGCAAAAACCTTCATTCATATTAATCCAGCGGTCTGACTGCATTCCTATTTCCCACGGCGAGAAGTTTCTCTCCACGTTTCACGCTGGAGGCGAGTGGGCAGTGACGTCCTTTGCCCGAGGGAGGAAAGCAGGAAGAGATCTAACTGGGGAGAGAAAACTAGCCACATGAGTCAGGGCGAGGCCAGCCCCCCACTGCCTCCCTCTCTCCGCTCCCTCCTGCCGGGGTGGCCTCGCCCAGGGGAAGGAAAGTTTGCGGGGGCCGGACGGGGGGAGTATTGCGAGCAGGGGGGAAGGCAAACCTACACATCTGGAGCTGACTGTCTTTCGCAAAATGTCTGGGAGGGGCATCCAGGGTTACAAAACCGTAGCGTTCCCGGGGCCAGGCAGAGACAGCGCAGAGGATCCTCCCGCCAGACATGTGCCGTTCGCTGCTGCTGCTGCCGCTGCTGCTGGCGCACACCTGCGTCCCAGGTAGGGCTGGACGGCTTTGGGAACCGGGTGTGGTGGGGGTGGAGAGAGGGGTCTACTCAGCCCCCAGTCCCCCGCCCAGAAGATAATAAGCCTCCGGCTCTCCCCAGATGGCACATAGTAGGTGCTCAGGCAAGAATGAGCTGAGCGAGGCGGGTAACAATATTCTCATTTAGCCAGTGCTCTGGTGGCGTAATCCATTGCGAGGTGCACTGCTCACGCAAAGGCCACTTAGGAGTCCGAATCGGCTGCTTGCAAGTGAGCAAATCGAGTTGGATCTCTTTATGCCAGGCTACTTTCCACTTCTAACTGGGCAAGAGGGAGGATCTCTAACTGCATTTCAGTAGAGAAGGAAACCCTTTAAGTAAGTGGCCCAGGGTCATACAGGCTTTGAATAAGTGAGATTCGGGCCCCGCAGTGGAGCCCCCCAGAGCACCTAATTTTTTACACAGTCCAGACAGAGTCGAGCAGAACCAGGGGCTGGATACCCAGGGCTTTCCCCTTGATGATCTTTCCCTTTCACTGCTCCCCTCGCCAATGGACCTTTTTCACCTGCTTCCTCCGGAAAACCGGGAATTAGGAGGTGGGACGGTGGAGAAAGGAAAGGACATTGAGAAGGAGCTGAGACTGAGCGAGGCGGCCGTAGTGGCGGGAAGTGGCTGGATGTGGGGTGTGGGGTGGGGGGAATCAGGAGATGAATAACCAGGAAAGCTCTCCAGGCCGTGGGGGGCCGTGAATGAGTAAGCCGAGAGAACTCCGGGTTTTCCGCCGGGAGGGAGAGGTGCTAGTAGCCTGGGGGCGTGGCTAGAGCAAGGGCGGAACGAGTAGGGAGAGCCCTGGAGTAGGAAACAACGTACATGCAATTATATTCTTTCACATTAACTTCATCGTCAAATTCTAGTTTGGTAACAGAGGACACTCTTGAATTCCTGTTCGTGAATGGAACACACTGCAAACTGTTTTCTCATTCACGTGGGGTTAGAACCTCGGGAGGAGCGTGAGGGTAGGCTAGAGGGCGAGGACCTGTGCGTGAGAACCTCGAGGAGGAGCTCGGGACCGGGTTAACGTGGGGGAGGAAGGGCTGTCATGGGGAGGAGCTTGGGGCGGGGTTATTGTAGGGGAGAAACTATCGTAGGAGATGGCGGGGGACGGGGCTGGGGCGGGGAAAGAGGTCTGGGAAGGGTGGGGCTTGGGGCGGGGCTATTGTGGGGGATGAGTTTGGGGCGGGGCTAACGTAGGGGAGGAGCTTGGGGCAGGCTAGAGGGCGGGAGCTGTGGGTTAGAAGCTCGAGGAGGAATTTGGGGACGACTTGGGGACAGGACTAGAGGACAAGGACCAATGAGATTCGAATTTCGAGGGGTAACTTGGGGAAGGGCATTGTGCTTGGTAAGGAGGAGGGGCAACACGGGAGAGGAAGACCCCAGATGAGATGGATTGACACAATAACAGGGGTAATTGGCGGTAGGTGTGTCAGCGACAGTGAGATTGATAGGTTCAGGATAGGACAGGGTTCGGAGCTATTGTATATCAGGTCTCTATAAGTCACAAGAGACTCGATTGGGGGACAGGGCTAACACTGAGGCGGGGCTAGAGGTCGGGGAGCAATAGGGTCAGAACCTTGAGGAGGAACTTGGGGGCGGGGCTTCCTTTGGGGGAGGAGCTTGGGCGGGGTTAGAGGGTGAAGAGCAGTGTGATTACAACCTGTCGAGGGGCGGGGCTAGAAATCTGTTTAAACTATTGGGATTATCTCTTGGGCGTGACGCTAATGGGGTGGGGCTAGGAGTTGGGAGAGAAGTGGGGTTAGAACCTAGAGGGTGGGGTTAAAACTGTAGCAAGGCTGGCAGGCGACAAAGTAGGTCTGACAGTGCTAGGGTTGGTTAATCATTGGGCTGTTTACCCAAAGGTTGGTAGCTGGAACCCACCAACTGCCCTGAGCCAGAAAGACGTGGCAGTCTGCTTCCCTAAAGCCGGGAAACCCAAGCGTCAATTCCTATAGGGTCACTGCGTCAGCTTTGCATCAGATCTGGAGAAGACCAAAGAACAAAACGGGAATCATTAGGGCAAGAGGGAGTCAGGGGAACACACAGAAAAGTTAGGCGGGCATAGAAGAGCTGATGAAGTGGAAACAGAACTATTTGCAGCCCAAGCGGGTGGGGGATAGGATTCTGGTGAGCCTAGAGCAGAACATAATTAAAGGGGAAGGAGCAGACTAGACGTTAGCAGAGGACTTGTGCGTGGAGACGCAATGTTGGACTGGAGACAGACATGAGGCTGGAAGTCAGCGTTGGAGCAGCGGGGAGGGCGGGACTCGAAGTACACACTGAATTTTGGGGTCCTGATAGTTGGGCATTCAGGGCAAGCAGGCCATCAGTGTGGACCATTTTAACACATTACCTCCCTTCTTGTCCCTCCACGCACAGTCTCCTGGAGCCTGCGCTGCATGCATTGTGAGACTACTGGGCATTGCCGAGAGGACGAGTGTGCCCTGGGCCAGGACCTCTGCAGGACCACGATCGTGAGCACGTGGGAAGGTGAGCTCCCCCCCATGCCCGCACGCGCAGGGAGGCGAGTGACCACGGAGTATCCCTTCCTAGTAATCAGGAAAATATAAACTAAACCCACAAGAACATAACCCCCTTCCACACCCACCAGATTGGCAAACACCTGAGCATCTTGCTTAGTAAAGAAGTGCCAAGCTCAGACCCCAATGGTAGGGGAATGAATTGACACAGACCAATTTGAAATATCCAGTCCAGATGAGGCATATCATACCCCAGAATCAGCGGTTGTTTGGCAGCAGAGCACAGGAACATGTGCCTGGGAATGGTTTTAGCCAGATTCTTTGGAATTTGGATAAACTTAGAACCACTTAAAAAGTCTATATGAGCAATAGAAGAAAAATATTGTAGCGTTACCTAATTGGAGACTGTCCGGTAGTTTAAGGTAGCTGAGTGGCACAAACTCTTTGGTTTTTACTACTAACAGTTGGTGGTTCAAACCCACTCATGGTGGAAGGCACATCTGGTGGTCTGCTTCCCCACCAGTGTAGCCAAGAAACCCCTTTGGGACAGTCCTCCCCTGTAACACATGGATTGCTGTGCATTGGAATTGACTCAACAGCAAGAGTCTGATTTATGCAGTGATTTTAATGTTATGCAGATAACAGACAGTGTTGCTATAACAGAGATACTACAAATGCATGACTTTAACAAACAGAAATTTATTCTTACACCACTTAGAAGGCTCTTACTCTCTTTATCGTCAAGTCAGAACTAACTCATAAAAAAACCTCCAGTGTGTTTTGTTGTTGTCAGGTGCCATTGAGTGAAGTATGACACATGGTGACAGCAGAGATGAGCCCTGTCCTCTCCTGTGCCATCCTCATCATCTCTGACCCTCTTGAACCCATTGTTCAATCCATCAATCCATCTGGTTGAGAGTCTTCCTCTCTTTTGCCAACCCTCCACCTTTTCCAGTATAATTCCGCCTCCAAGAAAGAGCCCCTCCTAACAACATACCTAAAGTGTGTGAGACGAAGCTTCTCCATCCTTGCCTCCAAGGAACACTCTGGCTGCTCTTTCTCCAAGACATGTTTGTTCTTTTGGCTGTCCATGGGATATTCAGTACTCTCCTCCAGCATCACAACTCACTGGCATCAATTCTTCATCTGTCATCCCTATTCACTGTCCAGCTCTCAGACGCATAGCAGGTGATTGGAAAGACCATGGGCTGAATCAGGCACACCTTGGTCTTTAAGCTGACATCATTGCTCTTCAGGATTTTGGAGAGGTTTTAGGTTTTTGTAGGGCTTAAGGGGTTGTAAATTACAGGGCAGGGGATTACCCATCTTTTCATGAGGCGGTGGGTCTGAACCGCCAGGGAGGCACCGCCTTTGGGTTAGCTGCGCATCTTCTTATGAGCTGTTTTAGGTGCAAAGAGCTCTGTTTTAGGTGCAAAGAGCTCTGTTTTAGGTTCAAAGTCCACCTCTAGTGTGTCATCTCTAGGGGAAGGCGTTCTCTCTCTCTTTCTCTCCTCTCTTCCGTCTCTCTCCCCTCTTTCCTCTCTCCCTCTTTGTCGAGTCTGGGGCAAAGGTGTCCTTTCCTTCAGCATTTGCTCCTTAGAGCTCTCCACTGGCCTACCCAGGAGTCAAGGAGCCTCCTAGCACAGAAACTCTGGTCCAAAAAGCCACACTCCACTCCTAGTGAGTCTTTCCTAGTGGTACTGCAGTCCCCACCCTCTCAGCTCCCCTACCTTCCCTCTTCTCCTTTTAACTCTTGTGAGATAAAAGGTACTTCAGGCCATACCCTAGGAACACTTGCCCTTCTCCTGGGGCTTCAGTAGGAGCTAAGGAGGGTTGCAGTCCCACCTTAATCCTTTAGCAATTGGTGTGCTTTTCAGGTTATTTTCAGGTTAATTTCTACATTATAGCATTCCATTTAGGGGGAGCATAGTTCAATCTGTGTCAGAGGAGAAATTCTACATGTATGATGGATACAAGATTAAAGTTAAGAATCAGGGGGATGTGATGCTGAATATAATGCCTTTTTACATAAAGTTGAAAACATGTAAAAGCCTAGTGGGTACTGTTATGCATACACAGAATAAGAATTAAGCCTGTGGTTGCTGCTGTTTAGGGTAGGAAATTATTTGGATAGTTAGACTTTACCTCTTGGTTTTGATGGCTTAGTGGGTAAGGAATTGAGCTGCCAACCCAAAGGGAGGCAATTCAAAGCTACCAGCTGCTTCTCAGGAAGAAGATGGTTGTGCAATTCACAGCCTCAGAAAAACCCCTGGTGGGTCAGCTAGAAATCGATTTTGACTCTGTGACAATGGTTTGGTTTTTACCTCAACTCAAAGAGAAAATGATATTACAAAATTGACTAATGTGTACGGAAGACTTTATAATGGGGTTTGGTGTCAGAATTAGTGGGACTGGCTCAGGACAGGGCGGGTTCAGAGCCGCTGTACATAGAGTTGCTTTGGGTTGCAGGAGATTCTACGGCACATAGCAACAACAATAATACTTTTTTTTTCAAGTTTGAAGTATTTCTCTTTAAAAATGCCTATTAAAGTCATCTCCCTGCTGAGATGACGAAGCTGAGGAAATAATAAATGCAGAAGGGCAAAGTGACATTGCTGTTGCTGAGAGGATCGTAGCCACTCCAGATGTGAGAGGTGGAACGTGGGTAACACCGTAAAAGACAGAGTTCTACCCAAATGCGAAGAGAGAGAGGCCTGGAAGAAATTAGTGCAGGGCAGGGCAGAAATTGGCTGGAGCCGGGGGAGGCTGTGGGATGACAAACGCTTATTCCCCACAGCTGGCGAGAACTTGAATGTGGTGCAGAGAGGCTGCGCTCACCCCGAGAAGACCAACAGAACCCTGAGCTACCGAACAGGGTGGAAGATCATCACCCTCATGGAAGTTGTGTGTGGCACAGACCTGTGCAACCGGCCCCAGACCAGTGAGTACTCCCCATAGTACTGACCCAACAGCTGTCATCCTAATCAGATCCCAGTTCCACTCCACTCCCTGCCTTACTCCAGTACCAACCCCAACTCAAACCCATTTCTATCCCAAATACAAACCTAAATCCATTTTAAGGTTGTTCCTATTTGGTCATGTAGCTGGGTGATGCTATTCCTTAGAAAGGGATGTCATGTTTGGAAAGACGTTCCAGAGAAAGAAAGGAAGACCCCCAAAATGGACCAACATGGTGACCTCAGCAATGGGCTCTCGAGTGTCAGAGATGATGAGGATGGCACAGGATAGGGCAGAGTTCAGGTTCATAGGGTCGCAATGAGTCATACTTGACCCTACAGCACCTAACCACAGCAACAGCAGAATACCGAACTCATTCTCAACTCTGTCCTCCTCCCCAACTCCAACTTAATTTTGTCTCCAGCTCATTCTCTAGGCTCACTCCAATCCTATCCATGTCCACACTCATTCTCAAGGCTCACTCAATCCTATCCATGTCTACACTCATTCTCAAGGCTCCCCCTAGCTCTATTCCTATCCACATTCATTCTCAATCCTATCTCCAACCCTATTCCTGTCAACTCCAGCCCACTCTCACCTCAAACTCATTTTTAACTCTATCCTCCAACCTTATCCCTATCCTCATCTCCAATCGAATCCCCAGCTTTGTTTTACCCCAACACTGTCTCTAACTCAAACCCATCCTATTCCAGCCATCCTTCACCCCAGCCACAAATCAATGTGTACTCATCTCAACTCATCCCAACCACCTCCGGCTAGATCCTTCCCCAACCTTCTCCCTCTCCCTGACCCCATCTCCATCTCTATCTCGCATAGGTTCCTATTTATGGCTGTTATAAATAAGGTGAAGGATCCCTGGTGGCACAGAAGTTAAGTGTTTGGCTGCTAACTAAAAGACTGGCTGTTCAAACCCACTCGTAGTACCTTGGGTGAATAATGTGACTAGCAATCTGCTTCCTTAAATAACTACAGCTTTGGAAGCCCTGTAGGGCGGTTCTCCTGTGTCCCATAAACCAGGATGAATGGTTTGATTGACTCAGGCAATGAGCCTGATAAGACACAGAGCTGCCATTAGATACTCCCTAGCATATGCCATCTCAAGAAGTAGGTCACCTTTGCCCTCTAACCTTTCCATGGGGACAAGAGATAATCCAGGTAATGGGTGCTGATCGACCAGGATAAAACCAGAGATTTGAGGTACTTAGCAGTCAAAAGGAGGGGATCCTATGAGCTGAGGTGGTTAGACTGGGTAGGCTGCTTTAGGTCCTGGGCATGGGTGGTGAAGAAAAAAAGCCTAGAATATCTAAGGACAAATGCTGTGTGATGGCAAATATAGAGACCAGAGCTTACTGCTTTCCAGGAGTGGAAGGGAGGGCAGTGGGGGGAGTTCTTGCTCAGGGAGCATTGAGTTTACATCAACGATGGTGGAATAATTTGGAAAAGACAGTGATCATGGTTACACAACAGAGAGAAGGCAACCAGTGTCACTGAATTAAACATGTAAAGATGGCTGAATTGTCAAATGCTTTATGTATATTTTTACCACAATTAACAACAACAAAAAATAAAAGATGTGAAGAAAGTTCTGTAAACCCTTTTGCAGAGTTTCATGGCTTTGGGCTGCAGTCAGTTTACAGAGTTTACATGCACTGATGTTAAGTCGACTAGACTCACAGACACGCTATGAACAGCAGAGCCGAGCCTGGCCCTATCCTGTGCCTATCCTCTGCTCAAGCTCCTTGTTGCTGTGTCAGTCCATCTAGGTGAGGGTCTTCCTCTCTCTCTCTGACCCTCCATCTCTCCCTGTCCTTTTCCCAAGGACTGGTCCCGCCTAACAACATTCCCAGAGTATGTTTGTTCTGTGCCATCGAGTCAGAAATGGCCCGTAGCTGACCCTCTGGTGGGTTTTTCAGAGGCAGTCAATCACACAGGAGGAGATTTCTCTTCCTTCTCCTGCAGCCCAAAGTATGTGAGGTGAAATTTCACCATTCTTGCCTCCAAGGAGCACGCTGGCTGCCCTTTCCTCTCCCAGACAGGCTTGTTGGTAGTCATTGCTAATTGCCACCTAATCCATCCTGGTTCATGGTGAGCAGGGGTGAGTAGAGCAGAACAGCTCCATTGAGTTTTCAAGCACAGAACCTTTAGGAAACAGACCACCAGGCTGGTCTTTTGAAGTGCCGCTGGTTGGGTTCAAAAATCCAACTTTTTGTCTATATGAGGTGTTTAATTCTTTGCACCACCCAGAACTCTAGAAAAGACTTGAAAACCAGACCAAACTGCTGCTGTTGGGTCAGTTCTGCCTCATTGAGACCCTCCGTGCAGTCTCTCAGGCTCTGTATCTGTCTGAAAGGATATGTCACATCTCTCTCCCAAGGAGTGGCTGGTGGCTTTGAACTGCCAACCTTTTAGAGTAAAGAATAAGCCACTGGGTCTCTCATCAAAGAAGGAAGTAGATCACAGATGGACCCGCGTAGACTGGCCAAGCAGAGGTTCCTCCTTCTGGCTCTAGTGAGGAAGGAAATGGGTGGAGCTGGCCTGACCGTGACGCCAGTGGGCAGAACAGCGGCATCTCTGCTGGTATTTTCTTGCTTTTCATTCTTCATCCTGATTCTGATCTCATCCATCCTGGCTGGCGGACACTGAATCAGATAGTCATTTCAAGGAAATGACGAGAGAGGATGTGGCTTCCTTCCCTCAGATGTGCCGAAGGAAAGAACTAACAGCTAGGTCTGAAGGGAGCACTAGTGGCCTACTGAGCGTGGGGTGACACCACCAACTCAAAAGCAGGCCGTTTGAATCCACGAGGGAGAAAGATGGGCAAACAACCAATCTGCTCCCATGTGACTTGCTGCCTCTGGAAACCCTCTGGAGAGTCAGTTCCAACCCCACAACGATAAGCATTTTTAGGTATTTTTTTTTAAAAAAAAACCCACCACATTGCCTTCTACTCACTGCTGACCCGCAGCACGTTTTCAGAGGACATCAACCACACAAGGGGGCCCATCTTCTGTGGAGGAGCAGCTCATGGATTCAAACAGCTTTTGGGTTGGTGGTGCAACTCCTTACCCACTAAGTATCACTTCTAATCAACAACGATATTAAAAGTATTCAACAGCATTGGTCAGTGCCTGCTGAGCAGTTAGACACTGGCCAATCAGGAAAGCCCTCAGAGGGCCACCAGTGGGTTGATGTTAATGCTTTAGCTGATAGGGGAAAGCTTGAGGGCTCTAGGGGCTAGGGGCAGAGGCTCTAGTGGTCAGGGTCGCCCAAGACCCAGGGCAGTGAGGGCATTAGTGCAGCAATTTAACAACTGAAGAGTCTAGAGCCCTTGTGTGTCGTGACGCTAACCACTAGACTGAGATTCAAACCAGTGGCTCCAGGGAAGAAGGTTATGCCTGGTATGAGTGAACAGAAGGAACTGTGGGACCCCAGAAAGGACAGGTCTCGAGGAATGTTGTTGTGGTTCGTTGAGTTGGAACCAGGTCTTAGCTGAGCTCTCAGCTGGTGTTCAGAGGCAGCAAATCACATGGGAAGAGATTGCCCATCTTTCTCCCTCAGGGAAGCTGGTGGATTCAAACCACTTGCCTTTGGGTTGGCAACGCAACTCTCTACCCACTAGGCCACCAGAGCTCCCTCTTGAGGGTTTAGGAGGAGTCAAGCTGTCAAGAAGGATGTAGAAATGGGGGAAATGGGATTTCACAGACAGAAAGGTCCAGGGGCAAGTGAAAGTTGTCTGAGTGGAGGAAGGAAGAAGGCATGGAGACAGGCTGGTGAGCTTGGCAGGGTCCTGTCACATAGCACCTTCCTAGCCATGACGAGAAGACAGACTTCATCTTGGGGACAATGAGGGAGATCCATGGAAAGGATTTTAAACAAGAGACTCTCACAATTGGGATTTTTTTTTAAACTTTATTTTCATTTAATTACTTATATACATTTTGTTTTCTAACATTAATTACAGTTGGTCAGTGCCATTAGTTACATCTTGTCAAAGGCTCACTGCACCTCGCCTGTCCCTCCGCTCTCCACATCCATTCATTAATCTCCGCTCTCCCTTCACATCCCTGTCAGCCCTCCACAGCTGTTTCAGGTTTTTGTTTTAAAAAATGTGTTCTGACTGTCACACCAACACAAATAAACAACAGATTCTGACCTCAGGGCAAAAGGTGGGTTGGAGGGAAGGGAAGCAAGGGTGGGTGACAGGGAGACCAACTTGGAGGTGGGTACAGTTCTCTGTATAGAGCAAAGGTTGATGGGGCCAGAGGGCCAGATGGGAAGGAGCGGATGGCCTTAGAGCTGCTTAGCGGGCAGATGAACCGGCCTTTGGTGAAGGGTTAGCTGAGAGAGTGGCTGTCTTGTTAAGTCAAGATGGAGTCACTTATGTCAGAATAACCTGCCAGGGACCATGATAAAAACCATAATTACAGAATCACAAATTAGGACCAACTGGTTGAAGTTGTTTAGCAAGCACCAACTCGAGGCTCCACAGTCTTTGGAATGACAGCAGAAGTTGAGATCTGAGGTCACCCTGGCTCTTTCCAGGGTGTGCTTGCCAGTCGGCAGCAGGAGGAGGAAAATAGAGCTCAAGAAGAAAGACAGTCCCTGGGCTGGGCTGGAGCTGGAGCCTGGGGCTGCCAGGGGCCCCAGAAATCAGGTAAGCTCCTAGAATGCTTGGGGAGCCCCAGGGAAGAAAACCCTCAAACTTTATGCAGATTCCCTTCAGTTGCATGCGTAGGATGGGATTCGAGGAAACTCGGCAAAAAATAGACCTTTAGAAGCTGCACCACTGAGCGAGGATTTCGGCAGACGGGGGCTGCCGGAAAAGGATTTCAGCAGATGGGCTGCCAAATTGGAGACACCTCTTGGTCACCACCTCAGGCTTTCCTGATATTACACCCCAAGATTTAGGTCATTGAAATGGCCTCAAAACCCCCCCCTCAAATTCATTCCTGTTATTACTGA